TCGAACCCTCGGGCTCAGGCAATCCACTCACCTCAGTCTCCCAAAGGCGCGGGATTACAGACTGAGCCACCGAGCCCGGCTATATATTATCCTTTTGCACACATTTTGGCAAGTTACTCTCCAGTGGTTTAGGGGGAAATATATATTTCTAACAGTCTAATAATTTTTCTGCAAGCATGAATTATTTAAAAATAAAAAGTAATAAATGGGTAGGAGGGGAAATAAATGTGCCTACTTATATGTATATATATTATGTCAGGAAAGTCACACACACGACTTGCTACTTCCCAGGAGTCACTAATGTGACTCCTGGGAAGGAACTAAGTAGGCTGGGAGAGAGATTTCAGTGTATATCTTTTGAAAGTGGCTATGTGAATAGATTATCAGGAGAGGAGCTAGGTTTTATATGGTTTAAGAAAAGTAGTGGTTCAGCCTGTAATCCCAGCACTTTGGGAGACCGAGGCGAGTGGATTGCCTGAGTCCACTTGTTCGAGACCCACCTGGGCAACTTGGCAAAACCTCATCTCTACAATAAATCAAAAATTAGCCAGGTGTGGTAGCGCGTACCTGTAGTTCCAGCTACTGGGAATGCTGAGGCGGAAGGATCACCGGAGCCCAGCAGGGAAAGGCTGCGGTGGCCGGGAGCTTGCCACTGCACTCCAGTCTGGGCGACAGAGTGAGACTCCAACTAAAAATAAAATAAAATAAAATAAAATAATGCAAAATTAGGCACAAAAGTGAAAGTTTATTTAAAATGAGAAAAAAGCCCAGGCACAGTGGCTCACACCTGCAATCCCAGCACTATGGAAGGCCGAGGCAAGAGAATTGTTTGAGCCCAGGGGTTCGAGACCACCCTGGGCAACATAGCAAGACTTCATCTCTACAAAAAGTTTTTTAAATGGCCAGGCACAGTAGCTCACACCTATAGTCCCAACACTTAGAAAGGCTGAAGCAGGAGATTGCTTGAGACCAGCCTAGGCAACATAGTAAGACCTCATCTCTACAAAAATGAACAAAATGAGCCAGGTGCAGTGGCATGTGCTTATGGTCCCAGCTATTTGGGATGCTGAGATAGAAGGATTGCCTGAGCCCAGGTTATTGAGGCTATGGTGAACCATGATCATGCCACTGTACTCCATTTTGGGTGACAGTGAGATTCCGACTCAAAAAATAATAAAAAATAAAAATATAAACTAAAAATTAAAAAAAATTAATCATGCATTGTGTAGTACACGCCTGAAGTCTCAGCTGCTCAGGAGGCCGACACAGAAGGATTACTTGAGCTCAAGAGTTGGAGACTGCAGTGAGCAAAGATCATGTCACTGTACTCCAGCCTAGGCAACAGAGTAAGACTCTGCCTGAATGAATGAATGAATTAAAAAATGGGAAAAGAAATTATGATATGTCACTACTGTCTTAGAGATGCAGGTCCCTTCTGCGATCTCCATAGGCAGTTTGCCAGAAATCTCACATAGAAGTGCTTCCTGATTGCATTTTTTTTTTCAGTCAGTCTCACTATGTCGCCCAGGCTGGAGTGCAGTGACATGCTCATGGCCACCACAGCCTTGACCTGCTGAACTCAGGCGATCCTTCCACCTCAGCCTTCCAAGGGGGAACTACAGGTGCATGCCACCACACCCAGCTACTTTTTTTTTTTATTGTAGAGATGAGGTCTCACCAAGTTGCCGAGGCTGTTCTCGAACCCATGGGCTCAGGCAGTCCTCTCACCTGGGCCTCCCAAAGTGCTGGGATTATAGGCATGAGCCACTGTGCCCGGCCCTGATTGCATTTTTTGAGCACTTCACTACTAACCCTCCCTACCTTTTTGAGGAAGGGGCCCTTGAAGCCTCATCTTCCTTAGCTTCAGATTTAGACAGGTTAGGTGAGATATCCAGTGGGTTTTGTTTGTTTTTATTCTTCTCTATTTTAATGGACCTCTGATGCACATGTTTGGATTAATCATAATCCTTTTTTTTTCTATCAAAGGAAACTTTTTTTTTCTGCATCAATAATAGAAAGCCAGTCAAATTCCACTAGTATATATGGTGATACAAGAATTGTAAATTCATTTACAGTGAGGTAGATTAATTATCACAAAGCAGGTGAGATCACTTATAGCTAATATGATCAAATTTAATTTCTGTTAAATACCTTATCAGAAAAAGTTTTTCAGTAAACATACTGTATAGTAAATGTATTTTACAAGCTTAATTGATTAAAGTATTACATATCCTAGCTTTGGTCTTTACTACAACATTAGTAAACATAAGAAGGGAATCTTTTACTAAATTCACAGTGTATGAATAAATTAATCTTAAAAGACCTTTGCCCCATCTTGCTCTTTTTTATTACTTTTATTTTTAGATTCGAGGGTTAGATGTGTAGGTTTATTATATAGGTATATTGTGTGATGGTGAGGTTTGGGCTTTTATGAGGGGGGACCCAAAAATCCCAGAATTTATTTATAAAAAATTGTGTATTTATTCTTACATGTTTAAACTTCAGTCACCTTCAAAGTACTCTCTGTTTGATGAAGTCCACCTATCAAGACACTTCTTTCACTGCTCAAAACAGTTTTTAAATTCGTCCATTTTGATGCCTTTTAGTGCTTCAGTCATTTTTTGTTTCACCTCTTCCACATTGGTAAAATATTTCCCTTTGAGGACTGTTTTCACTGGGGAAACAAAAAAAAAAATGCTGCTCAGGGTAAGATTGGGTGAATAGGGAGGGTGGGTCACAGGGGTCACGACATTTTTCATCAAAAACTGCTGAGCACTTAGCGCAGTGTAGGCAAGTGAGTTGTCATGGTGGAAGAACCTGTCACCTGCTTGCCACAACTCAGTATGTTTCTTCTGCAAATCATGACTCGACCTTCTCAAAACTTCCAGATGAAAACTTTGGTTGGCCATTTGATCCAGGTAAATAAATTGTTGAGAGGACAACAATAGATTTAGGTTAAGAGCATGCTATTGAGAGACCCAAGAAACCAAGAAACTTATTTGCTGTAAAAGTAGCGTTTAGTTCACTATATTTCATATATCCCCACCTCATGTTTACTATATATTTTGTGTATTCCTACCTCATGTATTTTATGAAATCTTAGTACTTTAAATCCTACCGCAGACCCCGTAGAATTAGGCATATGTCGGGTTTTAAGCAGTGTTTGTATTTAGAATCCTTGGGTTAAGCATTGTCAACCCCAAACCAGTAGGCTAACTTATGCTTTTACAACGGGATGTAAAGGATAAAGCGATAAGCCTCTTTCAAACATTCCTACAAGGTGGCACCAGACTTAGAGGAGCCACCTCCTCTCTAGGTGGGCTTTATCACCGGTTTATATCTCAGTGATAATTTACATGCAGTGGCTATGTAAACCTGCAGGGAACAAAGACCTTTATAAAAGTAACCG